CAAGCACCATGAACTGTGTTCACAGACAGGGAATCAACACCTTGTTCATATAGTCCTGTTACATAACAGGACTACCACTATATGTCTGCTGAATTATATCAATGGGCCTTATGGAAGATAAACAGCTAGTCAAGATAAGTGCTAACAGAACCTGTGTTTCAACATCTTACTTGTGCTGTCATTTTCTTGCTTTTGCTTTTTTTCTTTTTTAAAGATTTATTTTATTTATTGGAAAGTCAGATATACAGAGAGGAGGAGAGACAAAGAGAGGATGGTCTTCCATCCGATGATTCACTCCCCAAGTGAGCGCAACGGCCGATGCTATGCCGATCCAAAGCCAGGAGCCAGGAACCACTTTTGGGTCTCCCAAGCACGGGTGCAGGGTCCCAAAGCATTGGGCCGTCCTCGACTGCTCTCCCGGGCCACAGGCAGGGAGCTGGATGGGAAGTGGGGCTACTGGGATTAGAGCTGGCGCCCATATGGGATCCCAGGCGTGCAAGGCAAGGACCTTAACCACTACACCATCGTGCCGGGCCCTGCTTTTGTTTTTTAAAGATTTATTTATTTTTTATTGGAAAGTCAGATTTACAGAGGAGAGAGACAGAGTGAAAGATCTTGTATCCATTGGTTCCCGCCAGGTGGCCACAACAACCAGAGCTGAGCTGAGCAGATACAAAGCTAAGAGCCAGGAATCTCTTCCAGGACCCCCACACAGGTACAGAGTCCCAAAGGTTCGGGCCGACCTCCACTGCTTTCCCAGGACACAAGCAGGGAGTTGGAAGGGAAGTGCAACAGCTGGGATATGAACCGGCACCCATAAGGAATCCTGGTGCATGCAGAGCGAAGACTTTAGCCATTAGGGTACTGCACCAGGCCCTACCCTATGCTGCTGTATGTGTATATATATATATGTGTGTGTGTGTGTGTGTATATATGTATATACATATATATGTATATATATATGTATGTATATATGTGTGTGTGTGTGTGTATGACAGGTGGAGTTACAGAGATAGAGACAATCTTCTATCCATTGGTTCACTCCCCAATGGGCTACAATGGCCAGGGATTGATCAGGCCAAACCCAAGAGCACAGAACTCCACGTGAGTCTCACACAGTTGCATTAGCAGGGAGCTGCATCAGAAATAGAGCAGCCAAAGCACAAACCAGCGCCTGCATGGGATGTTGGTGCTCCACCCTGTGGTTAACCCACACAGTCACAACTTTGGTCTTAATACTGTCATAGAAAAATGTAGAATTTTTGGGAAAGGAAGAAATGAAGGGGGCTTAATTTATTGCTATGCTTAATCTTCTTTCTCATTTTATCTCTAAATGAAGATGAAGCTGTTTCATTGCAAGGAAAGAGCCAAATTCAGAATGTCAAAGCAAGGAATAAGAGAGGCCCAAGAAGTCCAGATGTTAACACTCCTTTTCAACCTTAGAGATGTCTTCCAACCTCCAGCCTAGCAAATAAATACTTGAAGTTTCCGTTAGTGTGGGGAGGAAATGTGATTGAATTAACAGTTCTTTGCATTGCTGTGCTTCTGCAATACATACTTGGTCTCTATCCATTATTCCTGGAATAGAGCTTTTAAAATTCTTAAAATTTCACAAGTGATAGGGTGCTACTGTGTAGTCTTTTTACCACGTTCTGACAGAATATTTAATCCCTTGGAATTTCCTGGGTGAAAGGAACATTATTGTTCTAATGAAACAATTCTTGGTAGATTCCAGAATAGGAGGTGGTTACCATAAAGATCAAGGAATAATTGAGGTTTGGAATTTTCAGCTCTATTGCCATACTCTAGGAAGGCAAGCAGGGCTGGAGGCTGAGTGAATCAGCAGTTACGCCTATGTGATCAAGGCTCCATAAAAGTCTTTGGAATGTGGTGCCTGTTCAGTTTCAGGGGTGCTGAACATACAGAGGTACTTGGAAGGCAGCACACACAGAGGTGGCACAGATGCTCCACGTCTATTTCCCATATTCCTGTCTAGTTTATCCCTTTTATTGGACCGTTCTTCTGCATCCTATGTAGTACTCTAATGTTAAGAAGGTATGCAGAAGTAAAGTGCTCTGTGTCCCATGAGCTACTCTAGCAGAGGAGGGGTCATGGGAACCTCCAGTTTATAGCCAGTCAAACCAGAAGTATAGGTCACAACCTGGGACTTGTGACTGGTATCAGAAGTGGCAGGAGGGTCATCCTGTGGGACTGAGCCCTCGACCTGTAGGACCTGACACTATCTCTAGGGGAGACAGCTTCAGAACTGGAATGAATTATAGGACATCCATTGGAGAATCCTTGCACATCTGGTAACAGCTGATACTGACAGTGCAAGAGGAAGAAAATTATCTCTTACACATGCACTATACTAAGCCCCTTCTGCAAGACAACTATTACCCAAAAAAATCACAAGTTCAGAGCAGTTCATCCAGGCCTACTGCTCACTGCCCTGTGCACAGGGTGAATTTTTTTGTTTTGTTTGTAAAGCACTCTGTGTACACTCTGCAGCCACAGCTTGCTTGCTACCAGAATCTTATAGAATGTCAGATAAATGAAATATCAGTGCTCCCACTGGTTGAGATCTATAATCTTCATGCTCTAAATTATAGTTGTGTAACATTTCCATATATCATGCACATCAGGGCATCTGTTTTAGGTATGTATAACTCAAAAGATTCCCCAGAGATTAGAGTATTTGCATTCAGGAGATCTCCTGGATCTAAAATACTGGGGATTCCTAGAGAAGCATGTGGACAGGACAGTGCATATCACAGTGGGTCTAGCAGTTTGGTGAGTCTGGGATCTTATTTACCCTCATCTACCCTACCTCGAACTCTGTAATCTTAACCATGACACCTCGTTTTATTATCCATAACTTGCAGATAGGGACAGAATTACCCATACGAGGCTTTTAAGAATACTGAACACATATATGCAACACATAGGCACAGTGCTGGTAATAGCTCAGTAAATGGCTTACACTTAGAACTTGTGCCACCTCCATGACTTTAGTCTGATCTCCAAGGCAGGCTGTAGTTAGCAGCCCAAGGACATAAACCTGATTCAATGAATTGCAGTACTTCACATATACCACTACCTTTGCCTTTTACTTATGTAATGATTATGCTAGGCAATGCTAGTATCCAGTACAGATCTGCTTCAAGATGCTACACTACAAAAGAACAAGAAAGAGAAGTAATCACAAAGAGACTTCCTTATAGAAATAGATTTTTGGGTGGGAGGAAGCTACAGGGACCAGGAAGGAGAAGGCAATGCTGACGCTCACTGTTGCATGTGATCAGCTTACACTCCAGGCAAGTCAAATTGTGAGTGACTAAGAATTCTATTCTGAACCAGAGGCTGACAAGGAAATCACACCACAAAAAAATCAGTAAGCCCCCAAGAGAAGCATCCTGGTGCCTAAGCCCCCCCATATGTCCAAATGTCTTTTTTTTTTTAAAAAAAAAGATTTATTTAAAAGCCAAGTCAGAGACAAAGAGCGAGAGACACAGACAGATCCTCCACCAATCACTGGCTCACTCCCCAAATGGCTGCCTGGCTGGAGCTGGGTTGATTTGAAGCCAAGAACCTGGAGCTTCTTCTGGGTCTCCCACGTGGGTACAGGGGTCAAAGGACTTGGGACATCCTGCATTGCTTTCCCAGGTAACAAGTAAGGAGCTGGATCAGAAGAGAAGAAACCAGAATATGAACTGAAAGCCACATGGGATGCTTTACCCACATGCTATAGCACTGCCCCATGTTGTAGGGTTTTTTTTGTTTGTTTGTTTTTTACCCATCTGCACTAAAAACAGTGGTTAAGAAAGAACTAAAAGTTAAATTTCCTGACATCAAATATCAGTATCATGCTTTTCTATGTGACCTCAACAGTAAGAGAGTGCTGTGTCTGGTACCAAATATACATTAATTGTTGCAATTATTGTATATTTACTTGAAATGCTTGATGAATTAATTTCTTTTCCTATGTGTTTAACTGACAAACCATCAAAACAACAACAACAACAACAAAAAGCTAGCACAAGGAAAAAAATGTGACACAGTGAGTTAAACAGAAGCTTGGGATGCCTGCATTCCATGCAGGAGTGCAGGTTGGAATCCTGGCTCCTCGCACATGTGATCCAGTTCCCCACCAATGCAGCAGAGGGGCAGCAGACGATGCCCCAAGTCCTTGGGACCTTACCCTGCCATCCAAATGGGAGACCTATATTGACTTCTGTACTCCTGGCTTATGCTTGGCATACTGTGGGCATTTGGGGAGCAAGCCGGTGAATGGATGACTATGTGCTTTCTCTGCCTTTTACAACAAAGTAATCTGAAAAGAGTTAACTGAACGAATGAGTATATGAACAAATGTATGCATCTCAAACTAAGATAAATTCAGATCAGAAAGCTTGACTTCAGGTTTAGAAAATAAAAAATTATCTTTTAATTGGTGAAATCATCCATAGAAAAGTTCTCCGAGGACCAGGCTTCTCCTTAGCTTCTTCTCTATATTCCGTTCCTAAAATAGGAACCCACATGGCTTTACCTGATATCACCAATTTGAAAGACATCAACTACTCCTGACAAGTTTCCAGGCTTTCGTTGGTTCCACCTTGCCAAAAAACTGAACAACAACTAGTCATAGATATGCTAATTTAAAACTCAATACAAGATTTTTACAAATAACAATATTAATTGCTACTATACAATCAGGTTAGTTTTGAAACCTCTAGGATACTAAAAATAAGTCCTTTTCTTTTAATGTACCCCATCAGATTTATGGTTTCTTCAAACATGTTGGGAGATAAGTCTTTGCTAAGTTGCCAACAGCATTAATGAGCAGCACTGGTTTCTGCTCGTTTTCATAAATGCTTTTAAATAATTGAGGAAAGTACCATTTGTGAACATTTTCCCCACTTCACTTTATCTTCTCATACTTCACACGCCATGGCCCCTTCATCTTTGCCCAAACAGAATTAAACCCCCAGGCCTCTCACCTCTAACAGCTCATCTCCAATGCGCATTCGTCCGTCCGCTGCAGCAGGTCCTTCTGGGTTAATCCCAACCACGAATATGCTCATGCGTGACCTGTCCTTATTACCAGCAAGGCTGAGTCCCAGTCCGTTCTTATCCTTTTCAAGCTCAATAATATGTAGCTCTCCAGGAAGGTCAGCATATCTTTGCCTGATTTTTTCTATTAAAAGGAAAAGATAAGATAATTAAATACACCAGGTGAATCTGTGTTACAGAGATAGCATTTCCCACCTCCTTACTGTGATTCCTCTCCAGTGGCTCCACTGGAGAAAGCAGCAGTTGTCGTCAGCATGACCTTATGTTGTAGATTATAGTGAAGTTTATTTTATTTCCACCTAAGATTGTCACCCCTAAATCCTCATTCTTCACACAGAACAAAAATGATCTTCCTTCCTCACATAACCAATAGAATACACTAGAAACAATGGCCCCTCTGTTTCCTACATGCCGAGAACAAAGAACATTTCCTGAGCACCAGCTACGTCCCAAGTAGAGTTTGGACTTGGAGATAAAACGCAGAACAAAATAATCACAGCTTCTCTTCTTACAGTCTTATAGCCCAGCAGGAAAGAAAATCAAATTTTCTAAATAATTGCATTTCTTTAAAATATACAAAGGTTATAAAATAACACTGGGTTAGGTGAACAATAGTAAATGTACCTAAGGGTGTTTCTCTGAATTCACTCCATTAATCCACCACATCTTAAGGTCTACAAATCAATACATCGTTTTATCTGTACAGGATTTTACTTCTGCATCTGAAAATGTACATGGTAATATCCACACCATGTATGTTGAAAAACATAAGATACATGATATAGGACCTGATAGTACATGGTTGGCAAATATTCCCAATTCTTTTATTTCTAGATAATGATCTAAATTATCTGTTTGGGGATCAAGCCAGTTATATTTCACTTAATTTGTTTCTATGCAACAAAATCACACCAGCAGCCAGTGGGGCCTGCACTGTTTGAGCAGGTCTTGTTTCTTCCCACATAGGACCAGCGCTGGCCTGGTGTGCTGCTAGCCCCCAAAGGCTTGACAGCCACTCTTGTGGCATGAAGCAACCATCTCATCAGCTGAACACATACTAGTTGATTGTGATCACTCTGCAACCCAAGATGCTCAGTCTAAAGCTTAGTTTACATTATATTCACTGTATTCAGGAGGGAATCTTGCAAATGCAAAGCTTACATAGTATTCAAGGGGGAGGGGGAGGGATAGCAGCCTCATCTGTTGTGTCATTTTTCCAGACTTCACAAACACTGTTTAATCCGTGAGTAGGTAAATTGAAACTTACAAAAAGAACTTTACAAAAATAACTAAAAATCAGTGGCTGTTTATTTTAGAAAGAATAAATCTATCTTCCTTACAAGGATTTTGAAGAGAATATAGCACTATCACTGACAGCTTATCATTAATAATATAAAAGAGATTTAACAAAATACAGTAGAATGAAGAACATATAACATTACCCAAACTTTCCTCTATACAGGAAAAATGCTGCCATTTAACACTGAAGTAGATAAACTGACCAAGAACAAGAAGTTTCATGAGTGTTTCAATACAGACACATTGGACAAGTGTTAAGCTCACGATGTTTATGTAGTATAGGATAGGAAGCAAACATTAATACTACAAATATCAAACAACTACAATTATTTAAGTCCTAATGCTCACACTGCTGGTCAATAAATAAATACTAACCATTGGTGAATTACGTCAATGAATAATTACTAAATTCCTTACGCTAGCAATAATATTTTAAAGACTTCTTTATTTACTTGAAAGGCAGATTTAGACACAGGGTGAGACAGAAAGAATCTTCTATCTGGTTGTTCACTCCCTGAATGATCACCAAAACAATGGGTAGGCCAGACCACAGCCAGGAGCCAGTACTTTTATGGTTCTCCCGTATGGGTGCAGGGACCCAAACACTTGAATCATCTTTGCTCATGTCCCAAGCACACAGGCAGGTAGCTAGATCAGAAGGAGGGCAGGTAGGACTCAACCTGGTAGCCATATGGGATGCCAGAGTTGCAGCCAGGGGTTAACCCACTGCACCTAAGTGTTAGTCCAGCATTAATTGTTTCAGAAGAATTTTAAGGGGCTTTTGAATGTATACAGAAATTGACTAAGTGCAGAAGTACTGTGATGGGGAAATGGCAAGAGGAAAATTACATGATCAAGAGGAGTGAGAGAGAGAAGGAAAGTCAATTTGCTGCAAATTAGATTTGGGAGGATAACCGAGGGTGGACACTGTGGTACAGAATCTGCGTGCGTTGACTCTGGCATCTCCTCCTGCAGGAGTCCCAGTTTCAGTCCTGGCTACTCAGCCAGCTTCTGTTCAGTTGCAGGCATCTGGAAAGTGAGCCAGAAGATGGAAAATCTTCCTTTGTCTGTTACTCCATGGCTCTTCCCCTCCCCAAATTCTGCCTTTCAAATAAACAGAATTAAAAAAAGGCACCGATGAAAAGTTCAAAGATGGGGCCCGGCGCGGTGGCGCAGAGGTTAAGGTCCTCGCCTTGCACAACCAGGATCCCATATGGGTGCTGGTTCTAATCCCGGCAGCCCCGCTTCCCTTCCAGCTCCCTGCCTGTGGCCCGGGAGGGCGGTCGAGGACGGCCCAAGGTTTTGGGACCCTGCACCCGCATGGGAGACCCAGAAGAGGCTCCTGGCTTCGGATCGGCATAGCGCTCACTTGGGGAGTGAATCATCGGACGGAAGACCTTCCTCTCTGTCTCTCCTCTCTGTATATCTGCCTTTCCAATAAAAAATAATAAAAATAAATCTTTAAAAAAAAATGAAAAGTTCAAAGATGAATTGTTACATTTCCTACAGAACTAATTTAGCACATATAAGTTCTACAGAGGTGCCTTGGAGCCGCCCAGCATGGGGCATTGAGAGGAGCTTTGGCCAGACTTCTCTCAGATCCAACCAGTGTACTTCTACTTTCATCTGCTTTGTGCACTAGACTTATGGAGCCAGTCAGCTAGGAAACAATATCACATCTAAGAGAACAACTGGAAGCAAAAATCTTAACATCTCCCCTCAGGAAGAAACAGGGCAGAAAAAGGTTTTCAAACAAGAAAACTTTGATTAAGACCATAATCTCAAGGCAATAGAGATATTAGAGAATTCTATAACGGAGAGAAAGAAAATATACATCTTTGGGAAACCACACACAGAACAATTACGGAAACAGGCTGTATAGGCCCATATAAGAAACTTCAATAACACTTAAAGAATCAATATCACACAAACTCTCTTTTTGGAATGAAAGCTAATAAAACAAAAAAAGACAATGAGAACATAACTCTAAAAAGCCATATTGTATTTAGAAATAAAATAAAGATTTAAAAAGGAAATTAAGAAAAACAGCACTAACAATCGAATAAAAATTGAGAGTCACGGCTAAAGCATAATTTGAAAGACTTTATTAACTGAAAAAAAGTAGAAAAATTTAAAACTAAATATTACATCTACAAAGCTGGAAAAAGCTGCAGAGCAAATGTAACGACACAAAAACAGAGAAAATAGCAAAGGGCATCTACTGATGAGAACAGAATTCTCACCCCCAAACCTAACCAAAACAAGACCATAAAATGGAATTAAGGATGAATTCTTGGGGGTTGTATATATTCGGTGCAGCAGTTTAGTCCCACGTGGGCCATCCACATCCCATGAGTGCCTGGATTCAAATCCCAGTTGCAGGGGCTGACTCTATGGTACAACAGGTTAAATCTCCACCTATATAGTACCAGCATCCCATAAGAAAACCTGGGAAAGTTGTGGAAGATGGTTAAAGTGCTTGGACCCTTAGGCCAATGTGGGAGACAATGAAGTTCCTGGCTGCTGGCTTTGTCCTGGGCCAGCCCTGGATCTTTCAGCAACTGGGGAAAATGTATCAGGATGGAAGGGGATCTCTTTGTGTCTCCTTTTCCACAATAATCTCCGTAACTCTGCCTTTCAAATAAACAATCTCTAAATAAAATCCCATCTCCAGCCTCTACTTCAGTTTCCTGCTATTATTTACCCAGGAGGCAGCAGGTCCCTGTCAGCTATGTGGGAATGTGAATGGAGTTCCTTGCTCCTGGCTTTGGCCTGCTCCAATCTCGGCTTTTCTGAGGGACTGGCCTAGCCGAGGAAAATTATCATTCTTCCCAGCTTCAAGGCAACAATGGAGGATGTTCATTTTAACATCATGTGAGGTATAAGGAACTTGGAAGTGATCTTGGTGTCTGTCATTAAGAGAGAGGAAAGATGAGAACTGACACATGGATACTACGATGTTTTATCAGCCAGCAGGAACCATTAATTAGAAGTAGCAGCATACAAAGATTTTAAAACTGTACTGAATGAAAACAGAAAAACAGGATGAGATCCGTATAAAAACGTGACATCATTTATAGAAGCTCTACTACTGACATCTTTCACACATATTTTGGAAGCATACATGCAAAGAGACAAATGAACATATCAAAACAGTTACTTACAGAGGATGGAAAGAACTGGAGTAAAGAGGAGCAAAGGAAAAGCAGAGACCTCAAGCAGATGAATAATGGTGAGGTGAACTGCCATGAAGTGAGGTTCATGTCTAATATAACCCTAGGCCCCTGAGGGCTGATAAAAGAGTGATGTCCAGAAAGGTTCTGGTCTAGGATTAATATAGAAAGACTTCCAGGTTCAAAACTTGTCTGACCAAAACACGCTTCACGGCCATGAACTACACATTCAGTTGTTTAGACACACGGATGATTAATGGCAAGAGGGCTCTACCGTGGTCAAAAGTGCCTCTGTCACAGCTGATGAACGACCACATTTAACTGTGTGGTGACTAGAGAATCAGAATCAAAATGTGTTTGAGAGAGAGTAGCAAGTACAGGAGGTAAAGCGTCAGAATTAGGCTCGAATCCAAGCTGGGGCACTGAACATCTGGGCTTCCCTTTGTAAAGTAGCATCACTACCTTAAAAGTGGATACTACTTAAAAATATCTTGCATAAAAGGCCCAAATAATCTTGGTGGAAAAGGAGAATCACAATTTGGCTTCCATGATGTAGTTACAGTGCAAGTTAATATTGGACTCCTGACAGAACTATGTTTTTCATGTTAATTTGAACTATTTTGAGAAAATAATGAGGCTTGGTAAAGGAAGC